AGGGTGTAGGCGTCCTTCTCGCGCTCATGCTTGAGCGCGGCAAGCTCTTCGCCCCTCGCCTTGAGATCGGCCTCCAGCTGCGCCACTTTTGTCTCCAGCTCCTTCTTGGCGGCCTCGGCAGCTGCGGCAGCATCCTCTGCCTCCTTGAGAGCCCGGCCGAATGTTTGCTCGCGCGCGGCAAGCTCCTCCTCGTGGCTGTCAAGGTTGACCTTTCGCTGCGCCAACTCGCCCTCCCGCGCAAACAGCTCCTCGGTGGCAAGCCGCTGTTGCTTTTCAACTTCGGCCTTCTCGAGGAGGAAGGCTTTCTGCTCCTTAGCAAGTTGCTTCCGCTCCTCTGCCAGGGACCGGAGAGCCTCCTGGTTAAGACCCTGGAGCTCCTCCGCGCGCTTCTTGATGTCCGCTCCCGCCTTCACGACAAGCGCTTCTCGGGATTCCAGCTTGGCCTGCCGAGCGCGGTAGAGCGACAGCAGCTTCCGCAGCAGCTCCTCCTCCTTAGGCTCGTCGCTGCTGCTGCTCGGCGCGTCAACCAGCGTCAGCCCAGCGGAGGCGAGCACCTCTCCATCCAAGGTTTCTCCTTCGACCGGCGCCCTGGAGCTTGACGCCCAGGGAAGCTTGATGAAGATGCCATCGCCGGCCTTCAAATAGGCGCCGGGCTGGGGCTCTTTGGAGCTTGACGCTGCAGCAGCGGCGGAGGGATCGGTGGTCGGCGTAGCGCCTGGCGCTCCTGCAGCCTCGGGGCCGTCAGTGCGATCGCCGGACCCCTCGCCAGCTTCTGCGGCGACAGCTTTGGCGGCCTCTTCGCCGGCGGGATCATCAGCGCCGACTTCTTCTTCGGTGGCAGCGACGTCGTCGGTATTGCCGCACGCGTTCTCCTCGCCGGCGACCTCGGCTTCCATCGGCTCCGTGGCAGATGGATCTGACGACCGGAAGTGGGAGAAAAGTCAAGCAAATATCCAAAAAGAAAATCAGAAAAAGAAGAACCCAAGGGCAGTTTTCAAGCAAGAAGATTACCTGTGCTAGGATCTACAGTCGTGGTCTCCGCCACCGGGGGGTCGCTGGTACTGTCCCTTGCCGGAGAACTGTCCCTTGCCGGAGAATTGTCCCTTGCCGGAGAACGCTCCCTTGCCGGGGAATCCTCCCTTGGCGGTGTAGTCGAAGCAGATGGCACGTCGGGGGCGGCTTCCGGGCACTCCTGGTGAGGCTGCTCTGCTTCTACACAAACCACTAGTCAGATGTCAGCAAAGAAAGAGCACCCATGCGCACCTAACAGCAGGAAGCAAACCATATACTTACGCTGGGGGCTGCGCTGGGGGCTGCTTTGTGGAGTAGTTGTCGGGTCTGACAAGGTGGTCTCGGACACATCCCCTGCTGTCGCGGTGGGTTCGTCCTCGATGACAATCACCGGTGCCTTGGCTCTCTTCCCGCTCTCTGGGCCAGAGTCCTAAAAAGGAATGGGTTCGGAGTAAGACAAACTAGATACAAGACAAAACAACAAGAATTGAAGAACTACAAGTACAGCAGAGAATCTTACTCTTCTTCTTCCTCGTCGGAGCTGAGCGCGGAGAGGTCGAAGTCCGGCCCACCTTCGGCGCGACGAGGCGGAGGAGTAGGTTCCCTTAGCCGCTTGGCGGCAGGAGCAGGAGCGGTGGACCGGGAGGACCCCGCTCCGGTCGTCGCAGCGGCATGAGGTGCTCCCGCGGCAACAGTGCTTGTCGCGGCGGAGCGTGTCGCGCGGCGCGGCGGCTGTTGACTCGTCTGCCGCCTTGCTACGTCCCCGGCCCTGCGGAGACGCCTTCTTGGTGGAGCTAGGGGCTCTGCGTACGGCAAGCTGCCTGAAGGTGAGGGGGGAGAGGAGCCGATCTCTAACGAGCCGCTCGCGCCCTCGGCGGGCTCGCTCGACTCGGCTTCAGGCTCGGCAAGCTCTCCCTCGCCGGCGAACTCCTCTCGCTCGGCAAGGCTTGCCGCCTCTGCTGCCTCTGCCTCCTCCACAGTGAATCCAAACTCGCCCGCGGCAGCGGCTGCCGCCTCCTCCTCCAGCCTAGTGGCGATGCGCTGCATCTCCGCATCGTTGGTGTCGCGGGTGAGGCTTTCTGCTCATCAGAGTGGACCGCCACTTCTACCAAGCCGTCAAAAAACTCCTGCACGACGTCGTCTGCAGGCTCTTGCCAAGTTGGGACAATTCCATGCGAATAGCACAGTGACATCATTGCACGGATGCGGTCAAGCGAGGAATTGTTGCACAGCGGAACGACACCCCTCGGCAACCTGAACGCTCCGGGATGCTGAGGATCATGCTTGAACAGTTCCAGGAGCATCGCATCCAGTTCCAGGACAGTGAAATTGAAGTTGAGGCCCGGGCGCAGCCTCATGATATCCGCCGCATTCTGGAACTCCCAGGCGGGTCTCCTCCTCTCCTGCGAAGGGGCGATGCGGCGGCGGAGAAAATCTGCGCCAACGGGGCCTACAGTGAGCCCGGCAAGCCTGAGGCGTAGGATCCGTGTGACGGCAATCTTCAGCCTAGCGTCTTCCGGGGCCAAGTTGCTCCAATCGTTGCCGCGCACTACTGGGACTTGGCGCTGGGCAGTAAATGGCTGCGGGTTCTCCTCGACAATCCAGTACCAGTCTGCTCTCCACTCCTCCCACTTGCTGCGGATCTCTCCCTCCAGATAAGCTTCTTTCTTGTCAGTTCTCGAGATCCAGGCGATCCCGCCAGACAAAGGCCCATCTCTCTCAACCCGGGGCATAAAGAAGTGGCGAAAAAGAGCTACGTTTGGGTGGACTCCGACAAAGTTTTCGCAGAGATGTGCGAAAACTGTCATGGTCAGGACAGCATTGGGGGTGAAGTCAAGGAGGTGGAACCCGTAGGTGTTCATAATATCGCAGAAGAATTCAGAGAAAGGCGGGCAGAGCCCGCAGTAGAAGAACAACGCGAAGAAGGGATATCCATTCGGGGCCCGTTCCGAAGCGGCGGCTGAGAGTACCTTCGTGCACGGATGCGCTCGCGTCTCCGTCGACCAAAAGAGGTAGTAGTACTCCCTCAGCTCCTTCGCGGTGAGCTCGGGAGGGGGGGGGAGATTGCCCGCTCCTTTCGCAGCGCCATGAGCCGCTGCGCCTCGGCCGACTTCGGGCCCTTCCCCTTGTCGGCTTTCGGAGCCATGGGGGAGGTGGTGAAGGAGACCGACGGTGTTGGTGGTGCTGGCGGCGATGGGAGGCGGAGCGCTGCTCTTTTTCGGCTTTGGGAAGAAGGGGGGGAAGCGGCGGAGGTTTCTGAGATTGGAGTAGCAACCGGCGTGATGGGCGAACTGCCCCTGTTTTCCCTGCTTATAAAGAGGGAGGGGGCGGACGTTCCGCCTTTCCAAATAAAGAAACCACCCACGATCTCTCCCACGACGCCGCATTCGACGCGTGCCGTTCGGGGAGGGCGCGGTGAGTGCGGAGTAAGATACGGCGTAAGCCAGGCCGCGCGTGCCCGTGCCCTGTTTTGGGCCTGGCCCAACAGCGCTCGGCACCGTGTGTGGCCCAGTCCCGGGGGCTCCTGTTGGTGTACTAGAGTAGGGATACCCTAGTATCCCGAACTTGTGCACGGGCAGTCGCAGCACCCTGCGGCAAGGCTTGCCGGGTGACCGCCAAGGTCCTCCGTGGTTCCTTTGGAGCCATTCAAGAACAAAGTATTCAAGCCAAGGAGACAAGGCCCCGGCAAGAGGAGCTTGCCGGGAAGGCCAACCAAGGCATCTCAAGGAACTTGCCGCGACGCGCCACGCGCCCCGGCAAGGCCCGGTGAGCGACAAGCTTCCGGACGCGACAAGACAACAACCGCGGCAAGGCGCTTGCCGCGGCAAGCTACCACTCTGCACCCACGCTCCAGCACATCCACCAACGTGTCGCCCTGGGGCCTTTCCAGGCGCGCGTGGCAGGAGGCTATGCAGTCAGCGGTGCGAGGTGGCGAGCGACACTGACAAGATTACCATCGTGGCAAGCGGTGGCGTCCCTGACGATCCTTTTCTGCACTGTTTGGGCGACACAGACGGGCATTTAATGCCTTTGTCCCTTGCCGTCAGGGTTAGGTATGATACATTGTACAGGTAGTTGTACCAACCGCAACACTTTTCCATTTTTACCCTTGCTTGCGTTGCCACCTGTTGGTGACCCCTTGAGCATATAAAAGGAGGCCCATGCGCAACGTAGAGGGGGGTTCGAAGGCAGAAAACACTCACGCTCGGTCTCGTTAGCAGCTGGTGTGTACTGTAGCACTCAGCGCTCCCGAGCAAGAACTGAATACACACAGACATGCAGCAGTAGGAGTATTATCTCTCTGGAGAGCTCCGAAGCTGGGTAAACTGCTCGTGTGCTTCGCCTCGATCCGCTCTTCGTGCGATCTCCGCCCCCCGCCGAATCGAAAGGGGCTCGGTCTGCCGGTCCCATAGGTGTTCGTGGATCAGCTTCCCCGACAAATACCATTTATTATAAGATGTAAATTTCGTTATAACTGAGAATCTAGAACCATATAAGAATGTGCTTCTTACAATAAACATAAGAAATTCCGAAATTGACACATGTCCTCCTATATCTATACATGAGAATGTGCTTCTTACAATAAACGTAAGAATTCTGAAATCAACCTCCTTGTAAGTATACAGGTCTAAACAAACACACTCTTACATCAGTCCCATTTCCTCCTATATCTATATATGAGAATGATTTTCATTATCCAGATCACATGTATTTGCCAAAGGAATTATAAAGAAATGACTGATTAGTTTTTTTTTGAGGGGTAAACAAAATGACTGATTAGTTACTACCAGCTAGCACATGTGGCCCATTCCCGCAAAACAAAAAAAAAAACACATGTGGCCCATGACGCCCATCTAAAGCTAGAGGCCCGAAATAAACCCTGCCCTAAACCTCCTCCGCCGCCGAAGAAGGGTCGACCAAGAAGAAGAAACCCTCAATCAAACAAATCAAAAAAGAAAAGAAGAAGCGAGCGAGGGGCAGAATCAGCAATGGCGGGCGGTGGGCTGTCCGGCGGCGCGGCCGCGTTCTGGGCGACAAGAGCGCTGGAGGTGGTGAAGCGGAACGACTCCCCGGGGTTGTTGTGGAAGCGGATCAAGCTCACCACCACCCGCAAGAACAACGCCAAGAAACGCCTAAAGCGCCTCTGGCAGGTAACATCAGGATCCATTCGACCCCCTCCTTATCTTTCCTCTCCTTTCCACCGGATGTTATCTTTTGTACCCGGCGCGAGTTTGTTTATTGCAACAATCTGGGGATGGTTTCTTTGCCTCCCCGATTCATTTGTGTTTCGTGTGATGTGGTCGGTCTTACTCACCTAGTCACCTAAATCGTTTGTTGCAGCCTAAGGATTTCTTAGACAGAGTTGACGTTTCTTCTCTTTGAACTTGCAAACTTCATTGCTCATATGTGTAGAGGGGTGAAAGGTTAAGGTGAGTAATAAAGTTCTGCGGAGCTTCATATTATGCTCACAGAGGACCCCGTTAACTGGAAGTGTTGTCGTCACTTGCGAGTTATTTTATTCAATGATCTGTGTGAAGAATAAGCTGTGAAACAGAATGGGGGAGCGCAAATATCACTTCAGCAAGAGGATGATGCTGGGTACAGACTATTAATTTTATGTCTGGGGATTCTAGACTTGTCTGTGGGTCAGGGCTTGGCACGGTGGAACTTATTAGACAAAGCACACGCAAGTGTTGATTGCCCATTCCTTGTGTTTGCCACCAGGATTAATTTTATCCAAATAGGTAAAGCACTATCTCCACATGATTTTTATATTACCTTGAAATTTAGAGCAATGAACTATACAAAATAGTAAGGAGAAACCTAGGTGCCGTTTGGAACGAAGGAATCCCAAAATATAGGAGTAGGAAAAAAATTTAGGGATTGAGTTTTCTATCTTGTGGGTTTGAAGAAACGGAAAACACAGGAATTTCGCAAAGTTGATGTGTGGATGCCATATACGAAATTTGTAGGAATCTTTTGCTGATTGTAGAGGGAGTGAAAGACTCATCTTGCCTTGCACTTCTCAGACAAATTTTAACATGAGGTTGGAATTTATGTTTAGAATCCTCCAAAATATAGAGAAAGGAAAGTTTCCTATAGGAATTCATAGGCCCATTCCTACAATCCAAAGGGCTGCGGATAGTAAGTGAAATTACTAAAGTCCCAACAGTGTGAATACCACACAATTGGACCCCTCTTGGTCTAAGTATGGGACAGAGAGCCCAAGTGGAGCGCCATCGACCAAGGTGGTACCATTTCCGTAAGACGAATAAGAAATCCATGCGGGACACGTAGGAAGTGATCAATGGGCTGGGCACCAACGCGGTCCTAACTTCTGCCCTAGCACGACGAACACACTGACATGAATATCGCCTTACCGGAGCTATATAAAGGCGCCAGGGACACCGCAGGAAGGACTAGCAATCTAGAGCCATCAAACCCTAACTATTATGACACTTAACGCCCAAATTGGCACTTCAATCTCGTTGAGTTCTCCCAACTCAACAAGAATCCCCCTCCCCATTGTAATCAGTTCTGTACTTCCCATTGCGCCCCCCTCTCGACTTGTGTTCTAGATCCCTGGTGACCTGATGTTTCCCATGACTATAAATCCACATACAAGGTCCTATACCGTTGGTATGACTTGAAAAAAAAACGACAGCTAGCATTGACAATGGGGCTGTCTTGACATCAGATTGGATCTGTCCATGTTCTTCATTAGTGCGATCGCTGTTCGTCGAGAGCTCTTTGGAAGGAAAAGCTCAGGGGCTTACCGTGGTAAGGCGCACTCGATGACCACATGTGAAGGAGGTTGCCTGATATGACGAAGATGGTCGAGATGAGCTAGGCTATCCATCTTGGGTGTCAATCAACACCATCAATAGACGAGATGTCGGCGAGATGAGGGGTTGGACAAGTCCATGCACGATGTGATACGAAGAAGGATTTCCATTGCCTGGCGGAATCTTAGGAATCTCAGGACAAGGTAAAGCCTGAAGGGCCAATGGTAGGACTGGACCCCATGGCACGTCAGGTATATATGGATGCGATGGTCTACTGCTATACCCAATAGCAATGAGAGTGACGATGGACACAATGGAAGCTTGTGGACTGCCATCATGATTCCCGAGGACCAAAGTGAGTATTGACAGCCCATGCCAGCGCTAGCGCTCGATCAAAACCCGACAGGATAAAATTGGCGAAGCTCTTCGAAAAGGTGCCCTTACCGATGATATTTGTGGATCCCACTTAACGATTGAGGGATAGGACAAGCTCCATGCGCGAAATCCGGTGATCGAAAGTCGAGGCTGTTACAGGATAAACAATGAGCAAGCAATTGAAATCCATGCGAAGTCGTTGCTGAACACCTCCAAGGTATGGTATGAGTTTCATCAGACCAAGAATCATGGCATGATCGAGTGTTGCGTATGAAAGAGGCATGTGAGTGGATACAAGCCTTAGTAAGGGAGGACAAGCAAGATGACGAGAACGAGTTTGTACGCTTTAAGGGGATGACAGTCCAACTACTGACGTGTAAGGTAAACTAAGGCCCTTAGAACGCCGATATGGCTCGAAATGGAATCCCAATAAAAGAAAGCAAGAGCGAGTATATCGTCGGAATGTATCGAACCATGAGTATTAAGGAGGCATCTTGGGTTCTCTTCCGTCGACTCGATAGAGCGTGGCAACTTCAACATGCGTTACCGGCATGTCATGTTGAAAGGCAAGACAAGTGCTAGAGACAAGGTGCAAATAATCATCTCGTCATTCCCATGACACCACTGATTGTGTTTGATTTGCTAGGTGATCAAATAAGTACACCATGAAACTTATTTTGGAGCAAAACCCAACCTACAAAAGTGCAGCTGAGCTTCACCAGTGATGATGTTCTTGAGGGACACTTTATAGTTGCCCTGACGATAAAAATTGCAAAGTTGCACAAGATCTTCCCAACCACTGAAGCCCACTACAATTTGTTGCCAATAGAGACACTTGGGAAGATAGAGTCTTACTCAACGCAATCATCCAAACCATCAAACTTCTTGAGGGAATCATACCACAAAAACATATCAACTCGAGGTCACATTGCACCTCCCATCATCATTGGCAACATCAAGTTCTTGGAAAGAGTGGCGAGTCTTTGAAATTGTGATCTAAATATGACGTACGATGTGGTGTTGGGCTACCACAATTGTGATAGTTTGAGACAACAGTCCATCATGTGAAGAACTCCTAGTGATTCTCGGACCACACGTCCCAATCATGGCCGCGAATCCTTGAAGGAACCTAGCTACCTCGGGGGCAGCATGAACAAGATGACGACAAGGGGTGGACTTGTACAACGCAGTAAGCTCAACTAAGAGGAGGATCGACGAGGGACCATACTCGCGTCAGGGGTTGACAAATTGAAAGGAACGATATGGTTGACTAGAGGGGGGGGGTGAATAGGCAACTAACAATTTTTAAGCTTTTCTTTACCAAATTAAACTTCGCGGCAAATAGGTTGTCTAGATATGCAACTAAGTGAGCAACCTATATGATGCAATAACAACTAGCACACAAGCAAGCAAGAGATGTAACAATAAGTAAGCTTGCAAAAGTAAAGGCACGAAATAACCAAGAGTGGAGACGGTGAAGACGAGGATGTGTTACCGGAGTTCCTTCCTTTTAAAGGGAAGTACGTCTCCGTTAGAGCGGTGTGGAGGCACAATGCTCCCCAAGAAGCCACTAGGGCCACCGTATTCTCCTCACGCCCTCACACGATGCGAGATGCCGTGATTCCACTATTGGTGCCGTTGAAGGCGGCGACCGAACCTTTACAAGCAAGGTTGGGGCAATCTCCACAACAATCGGAGGCTCCCAACAACAACACCACCATGAAGCTTCACCACAATGGAGTATGGCTTCGAGGTGACCTCAACCGTCTAGGGTGCTCAACACCCAAGAGTAACAAGATCCGCAAGGGATAAGTGGGGGAATCAAATATCCTTTGGTGGAAGTGTAGATCGGGCCCTTGTCACCCAATCCCGAGCAAATCAACAAGTTTGATTGGCTAGGGAGAGAGATCGAGCGAAAATGGAGCTTGGAGCAACAATGGAGCTTGGAGGTGGAAGAGGTAGTCAACTAGAGGTAGAAGACATCCCTTATATAGTCGGGGAAAAGATCCAACCGTTATCCACTAGTTCTGCCCGCGACTCACAGTACTACCGCTCTAAGGGAGCGGTACTACCGCGACGACGCGCGGTACTACCGTGGGTGATCACGGTACTACCGTGGCAGCTGCACAGGCCGGAACAAGCCTGAGCTAGAAGCAGTACTACCGCTGGTGCGGTACTACCGCTCCCCTTGCGGTACTACCGCAAGGCAGGAGGGTCACGGCCTGGGAAGGGCGCGGACGAAATAAATTTCATCCGTGTCAACTTCCGCAGAAACTAGGGTGGTGCAAAAACCCGACGCGGTACTACCGCCTGTAAGGCGCGGTACTACCGTGGTAGGCACGGATGTAAAAAATTACATCCGCGCCTACTACCGCGACGCAACGGTACTAGGCAGAAGGGCCACGGTACTACAACTCCAAAGGAGCGGTACTACCGTGAGCGCCCGCGGTACTACCGCGCAGGACGAGCGGTACTACCGTGGGTGGCGCGGATGTAAAAAATTACATCCGCCCCTACTACCGCACCGGAGCGGCACTAGGCCAGAGTGCGGTGGTACTACCGCACCAGAGGAGCGGTACTACCGTGAGGGGCGCGGATGTAAAAAATTACATCCGCCCCTACTACCGCACTGGAGCGGCACTAGGCCAAGGAACCGCGGTACTACCGCGCCAGAGGGGCGGTACTACCGTGAGGATTCGCGGTACTACCGCGTGTACTTGCGGTACTACCGCAAGTACAGCAGTAGTCGTCAGTTTTTCGCACAACAATGATAACGATGGGTAGCTCCAAAGTGCAAGGAAAGGAGGGGCAAGTGTACGTGTGATTCCACCCTACCTTTCCGACGCGGACCCCCTCTTAATAGTACGGCTCTCCTACGACTCAACTCCACCAAAGAGAAACGTAGAACAACGACGGCTTCACTAGTCTTCGAGGGGCACCGAATCATCTTGTGCCTAATGAAGAAGTATCTGTGGGACTCAAGGCACACGATTAGTCTGCATGAGTATTGTCATCAATCACCAAAACACTTAGGGATAAATATGCCCTTACAATCTCCCCCTTTTTGGTGTATTGATGACAACACGGGATTTGCACATAGATAAGATATGTTTAAAGCAGTGGCAAACCCCACTCCTCTAAAATATAGACGAGGCTCC